AGGGTTGTTGTAGAACTGGACCCACAAATAGTCAAATTCGGCGCTGGTAATCATCTTCTGCATGTAGGGCTCGGGTATAGGGCATTGAGGGGCACCTGTGATGTAGTATGTATGGCATGGATCGGTTGCGAAATTGGAGCGTAGCTTGGCAATGAGGTAGCGATAATATTCGGTCCCCTCGTAAAGTTCAATATCGAAATCCCATCCATCTACAAAAGTCTCGCCAAAGGGGCGAGGAATGCGGCTTTGCTTTACCCCTCCAAATGCATCCCATAGATTCTGACCGATAGTTTCTGCTTCCTCTCGTGAACTTAGTCCGTAAACCCCTAATGCACCACCGAGCGACAAAATCACTTTGACGCCCTTCGACCGACAATAGTCAATATCAGCAGCTACCTCTTCACAGCCTTGTGCATTTCCTGAAGTAATTTGGCATGATGAGCCGATGTTTCCCGATGGTGTATCCATATTCTGGCTAAACGTATTCAAAAATGCAAGGAGGATAATGTCAACACCTGCCCCATCCGCGCAATAACTTTGTAGACTCTTCTGGCCTGCTGTCTGTCCCCAATACATGACAACCTGGGCATTGGACGAAGACTTGGCCGTGTCGCCAAGGGCGTGCCTTAAGGCATAGATAAAGGCGATGAGGCGACAAACTTTCATTCTTTCGCTTTGCTACACTGTTTTGGAGATTTCAAAAATTAGTCCTACGCTTTCATGTGGTATATTATATACGAAAATGCGTAGTATCGCTGCCGAAGCCAAATATGACCTGTTAGAAGTATCAGGTCTAACTATAGATCCTAGGGATAATGTAGCACTCGATGGCCGGAACGATTAGAATGTTGAGGAATATGGCCTTGACATTCGTCCCCGCTTTTCACATTCATTTAAGCTCGTCATGACTCATGAGTTTCTTTATTTTGATAATCTCTATGTACCTAGGTATACCTGAGCGTTTCACTGCAATAGCATATGTCGCTTAGGCACCACAATTTGGGTCCGTGTGCCCAATATCTTAATCCACTACAAGCAGTACTTCATATTCACAACCTTCAGGACTTTACGGCGAAGCTTGCATATAAAACCCCATAGGAGTGGAGACATAAAATGGACAATTAATAAGGGTAAATATTTGTCTCAAAAATATTCAAAAATAAACTAGACTTAAAAGAGTAATAATAAGAGTAATAATAAGAATAATAATAAGAATAATAATAAGAATAATAATAAGAATAATAATAAGAATATAATAAGAATAGAAAAAGGATTAGTTTCCTTACTAAATACACCACAGCTGCATTAAATAATAGATAGCCTATAGTAAGTAAGGAAACGTCTAAATAATAAGAATTGGATAATTCTTTTAAAGAAATGGGCCCAAATAGGATTCATACTATAAGGGTAATGAGTAAAGGCGGTAGCAAAGGCGGTAGGGGAATTATATGGGCACGTGACGTTTGAGCCGATGGAAGCAAGAGGCTGCGGTAGATATATTTCTAGAGATGGTGGGATTATGGAGGAGTTTAATTTCCGTCGCTTGAACCCACGGCATGATAGTTCGCATGAAAGTTTACGTTTCCGAGTCTGCTTTCTGTCGCGTAGCGGGATCGTACTTTGGAGAAAGATAAACTCAGCAATGGAGATAGGGAACCCACTGATATTGTGAGGTTTACTATTGCTCGGCTGGAGCTGAGCGTCCATGATTGTGTCGAGTGTCCTCGCAGTGACTGTTACCATCAGTGGGTCGGAGAAAGGAAAAGACCTACCCTGCACAAAGAACCGTGCATATCTGAGATAGTTTCGAAGTTTGAAAGATGCTTTCGCATCGTCATTCCAACGAGAAACGATGGCGATATTCAGAGAGTATACACCCGTCAGTCCATCGAACGTCGGGGATGATCTAGCAACTGCGTAAAAGCCTGTCGCGACTAGAGCCAACCGTACATCCTGAACCACTTGGTCGTCTAGTCCGTGTTTTATGAATTCCTCTGTTAGGTGTTTAATCTCTTCGACTGCCTTTCCAGCATCCAACGGAATTGGGCGCCCCACGAATAAAGGATCGAGTCGATGATGTTTGGATCTTTCTTGGACGGTTAGTTGCTCTTGTAGCCGCTGGTAGTTTCGGCTCGCAGAGAAACTTTCAAGCACACTCCGCCCTAGTCGAGGGATCCACTGCGGACATAACCACGAGAAGCAGTTAGGGGAGGGCTGTAGGTCCTCTTGAACGAATCGACCAGTTCCAAAGCTGATCGAGAAGTCCAGCATTCTTCGAGAGCTCAAGGATAAACGATTGAGCTCGGCCAAGGCGACCCCGCTTGGGTTGTTTGCCGCAAATGCACCGTCTTGACGATCATTGTTCGGCTCGAACAAAGTCGGTGCCGCACAGGCATCGCCCAACCTACGGTCTGCGTTAGTATGGAAGCCGTTTTCTAGTACACCAGACGAAGACTCACGCGTCCACGAGCTTGATATTTCCGTCGTCGTTGTAAATAGCATCACCATGAGCGCCCACAGTAACATCGTCGTAGTTGCGACGCAGGTACAACTCGGTCATCAAGTTGGTCATGGTAAATGCCAGTCGAACATTGTTCACAGACTTAGGGTCGGCGGCGGCCTTTAGTAGTTGTTCACATCCAAAAATGCCTTGCAGAGCACTTAAAAGGCAATCTCTACTATATTTAGCGCCATATAGCCACTGGCGAAGGATCTTTCGATAGAAAGTAACGGAAAACAGGAATGTGCAGGCGGCATTATCTTGGAATACCTTGCCTGCCGTATTAGTAAACATGTCAATACACTCATCAGGCTCCATCTCCTGAATTACTAGCCCCGCTCCAACGATCGAACCTAGGATTACGTCAATCTTAATATACACACGGGGCAGAAAAGGGTAGTACGAACCGCTACTGGTCGCCACTTTCAGGTCGACATAATCAGATAGCCGTAAGCCGAACGGCAGCCCTAGCAGTACGTACTTCCACATCACCAGCGGGCTGATTCCGTATACGCCTCCACCGTCGATTGTCACGATTCGAAAGCCACATTGAAGTGGACGAAAGCGCACTCTCATCCCTGACGGCGCCAGGCACACGGGACAATGCTCAATGTGAGAGAGTGTGTTGAACGGAAGGTCTCGAACCGAGCACGCCCATGCATCCCTTTCGCAGATTCTATGGCCGCACTGAAAGATAATAAGGGATGGGTGATGCCAAAGGCATAATCCGCATACACCCGTAAAGGGAACGGATTTCATCATAGAGTTCACGGCCAACTCGCTCCAAGATGACCAGTGCTCCATGTGCCACACTACTAAGTTTGTCAGCTCGCTCATCGAGATCTTAGATACCGGCGATGATTCTGTGGCCGTTGCAAGCGCCTCCCTGCATAGAGGGGCATACACACTGTGAAAGAGGTCCCGTCCTGAAAAGCCTAATCGCGTAGAGAGAATGTTAACCCGGCAACCTGAACGAATTCGCCCGACTTACTATGTGATAGACTCTCAGAATCCCGGAGAAATAACCCCGCCAATACAGGGGCCAAAAATCTTTGGGGGTTCTTTCCTCATTGACATACGAAAACCATTCCGGGAGCGAACAGAGCGAGTGCATCTGAGTACCAGGCCAGGACTGCTCTCGAAGCTTGACGACCAAGTCCAGCAAGGGTGGTAAGCGTTGTGTGCTCATTGAGCAAAATAATTCTGTCATCTCGACATATATAGTGAGTGTCCAAAGATTCTGAAGCCTCTTTCGCCTGTCCCATCCTTGCTGTAGCCATTCAGCGCTCGCCTGTAAGCACCCTTCCACGACGTCACTTATGCTGGACTCCGTGCAGTCGTGTCGGAAAACGGCACAATTTTTGAACGCCTTATCCAAACACCCCGGTGGCAGCCTATCTTCGTCTATCTCGTCTATCAGACGACTGCAGTGGTCCTTCAGGTCCTGTTCCGCACAGGCCTCTGGGGGTAAAGTCTGCACCAGGAATATCACCGGAGGCCATTCTTCCAGTGGGGACTCTAGCTGCCCTATGATCCATAGCATGAGCTCGCGCGCCGCTTCCTCGATATTCAAGCTATATATACAGAGACTATCGCTAAAGGAAAGACACAGGTGCCGGATTACATCCTTTGCGGGTACGATTTCAAGCGGGATGTGTCTTTTAAGCGAAGGATTCCCAGCAAGAGCCGACTGTGAACCAAACTTGACGTAATTACAGACTGTTGAATGGCCTAAGTGATTCACCATACACGTGTTCATACCGTTAAAGTCACCCTTTAGAGCAGACCCGGAGATGGTCAGCACGCGAGGTTGACATTGGCGCCTTGACTGTGGAGCGTGGACTCGGTCAAAAGGGCCGTATATATCAATGCATTCACTATCCGGCTCATGGTCGAAGGCCCGCAGCCACGGGATGAAGCTCAATCGTTCCATAGGAATTATTTTGATGGTTTGGCGTAAGATTCCTTGGCATTGTAGGATTCAATATTAAATAGCGTCCATATGAGAGCTATTTTCTACTCTTCCCTATGTACTTTAGAATGCTCATAGCAGCAGTCCTGGTTTTGCACGATCGAGCGGCTTTGGGCATAAGATTCGCATACTAAGCCCATACGGGACGGATCGAAATTAGTACGTTACACAGATTCTTTGTCGAACCCTATTTCGAAACACATTAGTCCATAACAAAAAGTCTAGCCACGTCTCCAAACCAGCAGGCATCCTTTGTTTGCTGGGTCAAAGTCCTAGAACGCCTAGACCTTACTTGACTAATACACAATCTATTTTAGGCCGTTATTTACGGCTGTACTGGACAAGAAAGGATTCGGGGACAGAGTACCCGCAATAGTATAGCTTGTTTCAAAGGAGAGTTCGAAAAGAACCTTTGTGAGTAAACGGTGAAATTGATTTCGATCCTCCCTGTGACCGACCAGTTTCCAACGAACCAGTTTTGATCTGCAGTATGCTATAAATAGGACGTTCTAAACCCGGACGCGCCGAATGACCTGCAAGTTTTATAGCACTGCCTTCCCAATCCTTGGGTATCTGAACCATATATCGTACTCAGCAAATCACTATTATGCGGTACTATAGACATGTGGCCTGGGGAAGCCTTGTCAGCCTTGGCAGTCTGGCTAGTATTGCATACGCGAGTCCTACCGCGGAGCAGAGTGACACGATTCCGTCCGGATCTGATGGCTCTCTCGAATTCAACCTAGAACCTCCGCTAGATCCCGGTGTCTATAACGCCACCCTCCAGGCCTCCACAAATTTCGATCGTGTTGACCTCGGTGATGTGGAGGTTCCTCGTTGCGCTTCAAATCAACGGCTTACTATTAGGGTTACGTATAGCTGGGATCTACCATCTGGACCTCGCGTGCTAAGTCTAAATGACTCCCCATACCCTATTAATATTCAAAATCCTAGCCTATCGTCTCGAAGGGATTTGGAATCTCCCTCTAACCAAAACGCTATAAGTGCCTACTGTGCTACAGAATCTGGCAATTCATCCATCGAGCCGGCCTCTTCTTCAAGTACGTCTTTACATCACGTGTTCTCCTTAACTCCCAAGCTGGTGCTAACCAACCTTGCAAACAGCGACCTCTATGGCTAGTCAAACGAGCTCACAAGTTGATTCGGTGAGCATGGCTGATCTTCCTACGACTCAGTCTTCAACCCCAGGGACTGTCTCCGAGCCGGTATGCCAAGTAGACTCGTGCGCCACGATGGATTCTATTACAGCCACCCCTACAGTAGCGTCATCTGAAGTATTGGCCACTTCCGGGTCAAGCACGTCCTCAGTAGGATCTCCCCCAGCGATAACTCCAGCGAGCACAAGCAGTTCGATTACCATAGCTCCCTTGGATTCAAGCTCGCCATGCACCTGTACATGCGTGTGTTAGACTCTTAGTTTCTTTGTCCGGTAATGTGCACCACCTTCTTTACTATCTCGTCGTCTTGGGTCAAGATACTAGGTAGGAGACCTCATCTGACGCAGTCACCGGTCCCCTTTGGTGCCAGCATATTTCAGGGATCGGATTCTAGGGGGATCCGGATTTTCCATTGGTGGGTATAATGGGTTATACATGTACTGGCTTGCGCAGTAGGACCGGCCGCCTTCCATGTTTGTATAGAGGGTGTTAAACTTGAATCACATGATGCCCTATTGCAGAAATGATTGTCAAGCTCAGCGTCTATAGTTAGATTGTAGTGAACTGCTTTATCTCTACCTGCGGCGGTAATAGCTGATGAGCAAGGCTACTTCGGTACTGCTTTCCTCAGCTCCATTATAGTAGAGCCCAAATTAGAAGTCGCAGCTGCCAAGTTTTGAAAGCGCTGTCAATATATGTTTATATCTCAAAGTTCCGCTGTCTAGATCTTCTGTAACTGGATTGCACATGATATTCTTGCCATTGTTTCAGCTACTCCAGAGGTGTGGGCTTATTTGAGTTAAGCATCAAGTACCGGGTTTTTGTGTCAGGCCCTACTAAGTAATTTTGATCCAGCGGGCACGTTGGTCCAACTTCCGCCTACCGCGACCACGTGAAATGTGACAACATAATCTTGGCAGAGTACGATTCTTCGCTCGGTAGACTTTGGCAGACGATGACATTCGGGTACTCCACAGTTTATATAGACTTTTCACACGATACAAAAACTGTACGATTGTCTGAGTCGATGAACAGGGCGTCCTAAAAATGAGATTGCGTGCCTGGATTGTGACAGCGTCGAAGTCGAGGGAGCTGGGGAGCTCATCAGCAATGGATGGGAAGCGATTGGTCGGTATTTGATGATCGGTGCCCGGATAAACAGCTTGGCCTCACACATGTACGCATATGTGATAGAGAGAGGAAGAAGGATCTCTAAGGATCATGGATCCATCTATCTAAGAGGGAGCTCTTATATTACGAGCTACGAGAAAAGAGGTCTGAAAGAGAAGGCGAACACTGCCTGATTGTCTATGAATAAGACATCATTACGGAAATTAGCTAATACACTTACGAACAGAATGGACTTGCCGAATTGAAACTGGCATTGCGTAGAGCATAGTAGTTGTAGGTTTACCCTAACCCCTCGCGAGTTGGATTCTAAACCATACATAACCCACTAGGCTGAGTGCGGATTCGTATGTTAGTCTAGTTGGGAAATCAACTTCGCGAAATAGATGCAGGCTACAGCAACTATATATCCATTGAAATGGGATGGCATGATGGGAGTCTGCACCATGTATTTCCATGTAGTGGTCCACTTCCTGAAGACGCACTGAGGAGGAGCTGCATGATTAGTCTGGTTTGCTTGACAACCTAGGTGATTTGCTGAAAGGAATATCAAACTATTGGAACGGCTGTAACCGAGAAATAATTACCGAAGGAAACAGAAATCGGGGATCGAAGGTATACCCTCATACCGAAAGAATGCGAAAATACTAGAATTCTCACGACCAGCATGACCATGTGGGGCAGGAAGGGACAGGGGTTTAATTATAGAATCCTGTTCTCGTCGGTTCTCCTTATTTCCTAGCAACAAGTTCACATGAGGATAACGCCAGCCGACTTCCTAAGCAATAATTCCAATTAAGCAGTTGATGTTAAGGCTTACAGTAGCCTTCCGCACGACAACCATCGAATCTAGAGAAGGGAAGTCAACATAGGTCTACCATTTTCCGTCTTCAGTAGTGGCCCCAATTTTGAAGGGAGAAAGTCATTCATACCCGAAATTATGGAAATAGGTTTATTCGCTTTGATACTTCTCGGAAAGAAATGCTATAAAACACTATCTCCATCGCTCTCTCCCTTCCTCTCCTTTATTTCCCATTCCCTACGTGGTCTCTATGGTGCTGCCAGGCCTCCGACTCAAGAAAAGCCACCAGATTCCCCAGCTTCGAGACTGGTCGGAGTAGTTCTATATCTTCTAGCAATAATCCTAAGGCTATAACACCTAGCACCATCATAGCTCGGAAGCCAAAAAAAGATGCCTGCTGTCCGCCGAAAACGACACCACCACAAGTCTGTGTCGCCAACGACAGCCACTAAAAGAGTGCAAAATCGCAAAAGTGTTAAACAAAAGTCGATCGACAAAGAATTAGAATGCCAGTACTCCCCTTCTGTGGCCAAAGGTGAGAAAGAGAGGGAGCCACTCCCCGAGTTTGTAGCTCGAGTAAGAGTTCCGAATCCATGTTGGTAAAGCCAAATTGAACTAATAAAGTAGGTCGCCTGCCTGCTCTGGTTTGAAGAGACCTCAACGTTGCAAGCCATCGAGGATGGTCAACGTCCTGTGCGTTGCCGGATTGGTAAGCCGATCCCTAGTCCTTGGTTTCAGGAATGGGTGGTCACCATTTTGTCGGCCACACAAGTTAGCGTAAACGTCGTTTTCCTAGCCTTGGAGCTTATTTACAGACTCAAGAGGTCTAACTCGAGGATCGGGGGTAAGAGGGGAAGCGAATTCATGTTGATGACCGTTGCGTTGATGCTTGGCAATAAATGTGAGTTTTACTAGTACCACACTAGGCAGCCTGTCGACCTGCACGCAAATCCCCACTGGTGTTGAAGATGCTGATGTACCGGTAGTTCTTGATGACGTGCCCTACAGCAATGGGGCATGGTCGGAAGTGTCTGGCATCCCCAAGCACCAGATTCACAGTATCGAGATTGCATTTCTCCGCTACATTAACTACAACCTGTTCTCCTCCAAAGTCACGTGGTCTAAATGGCGCAGTAAGCTGGTACTATTCGGCAAATACTGTCATAGTGGCTACGAAGTGCCGACTGTATAGAAAACTTGAGACCTTCACAATTAGGGATCAGAATGAGTACTGATATGATGGCAAAACCTGAATATTATTTACTTTCTACTATGCACCTATGTTCAAGATTTTTGTTCCACATTAGGATTTGGCCTAAGGTAAAACAATCCGTTTTGGGCCTATTCGGTCGGCGGGCTTTGACTATAATGACAGATCAGCTAAAAATGAGTTCCACTCCCACTGGATAAAATACTGTTTCCCGCACGGAAGAAAGAAAACAAAAACCATTCATGGCGTCGAGTACTGAAGCTGTCAAATTCGATGGTCTACTAGCAGCGGATGCCTGCTCCGGGTACACATACATGTTCGATGAAATATGGTCTGTGGTCTAACGAGTCATTGCCTCTATAGAAATAGGAGAGGCACAACGTGTTCTGAATTACTGGCAGTCAATAAAACATGGGGCACTACTTCGTTTTGCTCGATATTTGTTCAGAGCGGCTCTGCGAAAGGTTATCGAAACAAAGAAAAACAAATCTCCTCGAGGAGTTTCTTCCGCACTAGAACAAATGGAATGATCTGCAATACAATATTTTAACTCTAGCTAGAGATCAGGGGATACATGTTATAAAGGCTTTTCAAGACCATGGTGTATTGAAAGCGGACAAAATTGCTACCCTTCTATTCCTCGTCGACATAGGAGGCGAGCAACAAAAGTACGCGATAGAAGAAAAGATTGCTCTGGAAGGATTCCGCGTTGGTTCCGGACGGAGAGGTGGAATCAGATGGCTTCAAAGCCCATTGCGTGGATATTGGAGCAAAAACACAGAAACTGTCCTTTGCTATGCGGCAGAAAACGGTCAATCAGAGATTGTGAACAAGGTACTTACAAAGTATCCTACTGTTAAACGTCAGAATGCAATTAGCTTTGCACTTGCTAGCGGGCAATTAGAGGTTTTTTAAACTTTTCAGGGACGGTCTCGACGGAGAGAGTAACTGGCCTCCATCACTAGCGCCTACAGAGTCTTCTATATTCTGGCGTCTCACACCACTTGCATATGCGTCATCAATTAACGACCTCGAGCTTATTCGCTTCCTAACCAAGCAAGGTTGCGATGCAAATGGGCAATGGTTTATGGAAGCAGCCCGCTCGCGATAGCCGAAGATGAGGCTCTCAAATGTCTGCTCAAAGCCCGGTGCTTAGGAATGGGGCCATGTAGCGCTGATGGGTCGTACCCAATGCATATTGCAGCAGTCAGTCACAACGGAAAGGCAATGCAGCGCTTCCTGAACAAGGGCGCTGACATCAACTCTCAACGAGGTGACGGCTGGACACCGCTTATGCGCTATGTGTATTTCCTAGACGAACCACAGCCATCCGATTTGGAAGGACTCGAGTTCTTTATTTGTAACAAGGCGGATGTGGAGTAAGCCGACTGTCAAGGCCGTACTGCTGTGACGCTGGCATTTGACACAAGCCATATGGATGTGCTGTATACACTTGTAGACGGTCTCATGGAATCCCCAGAACACGAAGAGATTTGGGAATACCTACCATTAATCACGCTAGCTCTGAGTACAGTTGCCTTTAAGCGTTACCTGCTGCGTTACACTGAATATATTAAGGGGCTCGGAAGTCTTTGCTTTAGAGACCTATTTCGGGAGGTAATCAGCCTTGGTTGTCCAAAGAATGCACTATCCCTACTTGAACGCAGCAAGAGGAACGGATTAGAAGCATATGTTAGATGTGCTACATTGGAAATAGAAACATTTAGGCACGTTGCGCTCGGTTCTTTTGCCCCCGAAAATAGGTGCCTTGAGTTTGTCGACGAGCAAGTTCCAGAAAATGAACACCTATTCGAAAACCACCCTAACCTGCTTCCGCTGATTGCTCCGTATGCAAAATCCAATCTCGAGCACTATCTTGAGTATCTAAAAGAGAACAAGCCTGTTGGGATTCTCGAAAAGAACCTACAACTGTGCATCAATTCTGCATCCGTGAATACCCGTATTCCGTATACACGAAAATTCTTCGTTCTATCGAGTCGAAATCAGCGTATTACCGAGAGATAGCCAGAATCTTGATTGAGATGAATTCCAGCTTGGAAGAGCCGGGGACTCTGACGACGATATGCTCTACATAATTCTGTCGTCTTCGTTCTATGTTTTGAGAGATTATCTCGCGATCCCGACATGGAAGGCGATGTCGGGCGCCACTCTATATTCAAACGTAGTCTGAGATGCAGAGCTCTACAAATTTGACATTATGGTGATATATCAAACTCAAGTCGTGCTGTCGGTTTGGCGCACGCATATAGATTATTAGCTCGACCGCTAGGGCCTTGCGCCCAATATCATTTATTGATTCTTTCCTGTCTAGCATCCTCGGTACGTAGTGTTTTGGGGTGTTTATTTACAGAGGCCTGCCACTTTGACAGAAATTTAGCATTTAGCCTCAAATATAGACAACAAGCTTGACCGTGACGAGATTGAAGCCCTACACCGCAACCGTATCCTGAAACCAAAGTCCCTACATTCCGCTGTCTAAGCACGTTGGGCACAAAATCTTTTCTCAAAATCAGATTCTACTAGGATTAGTTACTATTCCATGGAAAGCAACAGTGACAATAGAATAACATATAGGAATATGCCTCCCTTGTATCTCCAAAGGTAACTGGTAATGTTTGTTGCAGATCGTGTTCGGAAGAGGATTTTACGCGACGTACCGTACGCGTCATACTCAATTACATCCGTGTTTTGGAGCACTGTTCATCCGCAGTCTAGTCTCGTGGGAAATTTTGGTTCCCAATAAAATGCGAAGGATAGGACTATACTAAGCGTCACCGTTAATATGTAGTACTATTTATAGATGGACTTGAAATAGGACATTTCTGATACAATTTCCCGAGCGTATAAGATCAGCGTTTCCTGTTGAAGACTATCGGTTGACCAAATTGTTTTCTCTGTAACGCCAGTAGCATGGGCCACTTTCAAGGGGAAGAGCGTAAAGCAACCGATGAGATGGCTGGCGATTCTAAAAGAATTGTATGTAGTGAACCAATACGTCCTACCGAGATTGAGGAGATTGAGGAGGCAGGTGTATCATCTGAAGTCTTGCCATATCGAAGTCTAGTCCAAAGTACCAGCAGCCTAGCCCTGTCAGGGGCTACCTACGGTGAACATATTGTATGCCTGATCCAGCCATTCATTGTAAATTGGCTCTCAGCCGAACCAGAGAATAAGTCACAATACGATACTCAAACGGAAGCGCAGAAAAAGTACACTCTGATCTGCACTACGCGCCAAATAATAGAGTGTGTGAGTACTATGTCAGTATTTTGGAAAGCAATGCAGAACATCCACTATTGAAGGTGAAACGAGCGAATGATTTAACACAATAGAAACCTATCCTTCTCACCAGATGCCCGAAGCATTATATATACAGTGCCAGTTTGACTTGTGACTCACGACCTTCTACCAACTTCCTTTCCCCCTGAAGAAATCAAACAATGTGGTAGGAACGATAAACTTAATCAGTATCTGAGCGTAGAAGCACGCAGACTGTTTGTTAGTAGGCTACTGGATGGAGAACCGACGATCCGGAATATATATTTGTGGATCAGAGTGAGAAAGTCAGCCGGCGCAAGCATTAATTTAGCCAGCATACAAAAAGGAACATTCCGGGATTGACTAAAGGTTTTCTTTGAATAATTCATTTTGTGCGGCAAGCGTACATTCACTCCGTTTACCGAAGGCCCTGCTGTTGCTGTTTCTTTTAAACGGGTTAACTTCCCGTGTCACGTATAACCAGACCTGTACTTTGCACTACCACAATCCGTAGCTCTAGAATTCAGCTCGCGTATCCACAAAGCCTTTCCATGGCGTACTATCGACCGACCAGCCTTATCACTTGATTATCCCAGCGTACTGTTTTGTGCCAAACCAAACTATTCTGACATTTTAGCATCCAGCCTCCACGCTCCAATCAAATAAATCTCCAATTCTCCTCAATTGAGGGGAAGCACCGACATAGACTATCTCTTTTCGCATTGTTAAATGAAGGTGTGGTTTAATATAGAAGTAAATCAGGAAAACCACATATTCACACAGATCAAGCCATCACATATACACTAGCAAGCCTCCAGCGTTGCCACTATTCCAGCAAACCGCAAAATGAACGCACACATCCGTTGTTTATCTTAGTGAATCTTGACTTCCAATTTCCATCCTGGGTTGATGTCCGGTTCCCTGCTACGGACACTTAACAGTGAACATATATCACCTCAGGAGCAACTTACAACTTGTACAGGTACAGGCGGTTTAGATGGTTTAGATGGGATATAAAGCTTCAGTTTTGGTCTTCCCTTATTGCCAAATGGTAAATCTCTGAACGTAGGTGGGGGAATAGGTGCCATATTCTAACTTGTTGCAATCGAAACAATGCAAGGGCATCTCGGTAATATATTAGAAAGCGAGCATCGTAAATAGAGTCAAGCTTCAGTTGTATATTCGGATATATATTTTTAGAGAGTCACATTAAAAGGACCCCAGCTTTTAACAAAAAGACCACTAGCCCTGACTAGGCCTGGCGCTGTAATTGTATTTTATTTCGCATTAGGAGCATTATTGAGTCGAATTGTATCAATTCCTAGGTATTCACTCCTCACCTTTAATCTCTCGAAGTCCTATTTGTTAAAGACTCTGTGGAAATAGAGGAATCGGCCTATGTAGCGTCGAATTTTCGAAAATTACGTCTTAAGAGTAAAGAACTAGAATAAATTGCATTAAATCACCTATTCAAAGAGCTCTGTTGCGCTTCTTAGGCCGATTAGACTAGGAAGTTGTGTCCTAACGCGCAACGATCTTTACCGGCGATAAGTAGACAGAAGACAAAACTATTAGGTGATTATAAGACCTCAGTGCATCGGCGGTGCTTAGAAAACCATGCCTTTTAACCCAATGATGCGTGATGCTCAGTGAAATATAATTACAGCGTCAGATATATCAGGGCTAGCGTTGGGGAGTGAGAGGGGGGAGAGGGGGATTGGTTTCTAACCCTTCTAAAGCGCTTTTTAGAAAACGTAGCGGAACAATTATCCAGATTTGAATTTTAATAGCGGAAAATGGCATTATTTTTGAAAGCTTCTTGCGAAGAGAAAGTATCGGGTGACCCACCTAGTTGTCTTTGTCTTGCTTTCTGCTTGTTCCGTAAGACTCTTACCGTGAGAACGTAAGAATTTGAAAGTGGGGGATTCACCATTCTTCAATGACCGTATACCATACTCCACCAAGGACTTTTCTCCCTGCGGAGGGAGCTATTGTTGCTCTACGGCTCGCTCCGTTTTGGAAAATCGTACCTCACGATTGCGTAACGTGGGGCTTGGACTACCGCTAGATTTTGATATGGCGGAATAATTTTTAGACTGTCTAGACTGTTCATTTAGGGCGGGCACAGTTGCTGCTAGGCCCTTATACTCGGTCGTAAAATAGATATGGGTGTGACAGGGAAAAGTGAAAACTTGCTAGGGGTCGGCGATGCGGCACACCCCGTAAGGCACTCTAAGATTAAGCTCCGTATAGTACCGTGTCGATACGTCTCTTAGTAATGAAATTGCAAGACGCTCCCTAGTAAGGAAAATAAGTACCTAAGGGGTAGGTATATTTAGATCGGTCTCGTGTTCAAATCCAGAATGAGCACACAGTTGCAATTTGTTCCCTCAATTTCTTGACAGCTCCAGAACAATCCAGCACCACCTGGGCTCAAAAGGTGTAGCGTAATACATCATGGTCAAATTGAAGAGTCCAGTGCACCGTGCCCTGAACCTAAAAACTATTGCACCCGTCCTATTTATTTTTACCCCTCCGCCGGGAAAAATACCGAGCGGATGAGTGGTCTAACCCGGGCATGCAAATATTTCGGTGGGAGCGTGTCCCGAACAGTAAACGGCTAGCGATAGATCGGGTTAACAGATGATCAGAGTATCACATGTATATCTTAATATACCTTACGTAAGTCAGAGATCAGTGATATAAGACTCAGCCCTAGGGCACTGGAATCGTCCACGGGGAATCGCCAGTCGCTGGCGTTGACTTTCCTTCCCACGTCGCGCAGCTCTTTTTCGATTGTCGGTATTTCAAAGTTGACAATGATATTGACAAATGCATTTGGAAGACCCTGTAAAGATTCTATACAGGAAGCTTTGGCTTGCTTTGTTGCTTCTTCAGCGTTAGTGGCATTCCTGATATCTTTACACTCTTTCATTTTTTGAGTTCCTGGTAGAGGCCGCATGTTGTCAAAGCCACCTATCAATTCGCGTAAGTACTACTAAGTATCGTATTTCGTTCGTCCAACTTACCTATCTTGATGACGCCAGAATAATCAAGGAATATGTTAGTGTCATTTAGGTCGTCGTAGTATAGCTTTTTCAGTG